TAATGATGTTCAAACGACAAATGAATATACTTTGCTCTCCACGACCACTAAATGGCAGCGATGATGTGGACACAGACTATCATGTGTACCAAGTCTCTTGGGCGGCACGCACGACTGCGTCAACCTGATCCGTGGCTGGTTGTGTTTTGGTTCTCTCGTCACTTGCTCAGTCTTCCGTGGCAGTATTCGTGCCTCATAAAAAGTAGGTCAAAGTAAGGCGGTGGCTGCCAGCGAAGGCCATTTCTAGGTCATTGTTAAATCTGATTCAAACGGTGCGGTAGACGAAGCCATACATCTCTGAGATAGTTTCTTAAGCAATAAGACGATTGGGTTTAAAATTACAACAAATTAATTAACCTGGGGTCAAGCATAAAGATCAGACCTAGGTGTACATTAGCGTCCTTTTTTAACTCGATAGCTTGCCTAATGTGATAGTTTCCGATGCTCATCTCGAATTTACTGATAACAGGGACCGAAACGTACACGTTCCATGGACTTCTTCAAGGTCGGGGTATGTCACTAACCTAAAAGGATGCAGGTTAACATTTGGTTTTAGGAACATACCGTCTAGCGCAGTCCCTGACGCCGATTCAAACAGCGGAATAGAAACAATCTTGGAGGTTTTTGTTTCCCTGACCTTCTAAAAGTAAAACAAGTCACTGATCTTAAATGGATACTTGGGACATTTTGCTTAGACTACCTATTTAGGTTCAGGGCGATCGCATGGGAAGGTCTGAGGACACTTTGGACAACAATCTGGAGGTTTACCTTGTTTGACCTTGTTCGGCCCTAAGATCATGGCCTAGGAAGCTCAAATTTGGACAAAAATGAGTTCGCATACAGGCAAATTCATCCTTAAACTTGGCTGCCTTGCTTTCTTAGTTTACGAGATTTCAGGGCGGTCAAATTGACCCCCTTCCGAACCGAGCGGAGGTCATCCAATCGGCCGCACGGGCGTGTGTGAACGGCTTTGCTGAATACAAGTTCGCAACGCACGTGCCCACGCTTCCCAATTTATCTTTATCTGATCGGTTTGCAAATGTGTGACCTACCAAGAATGATTTAATTGTCATTAGTAACATTGTAGCCCGATGTCCAGGCTGCCTTTTCCCAATAGCCCGCGCGTGCATGTTTTCGCCTTGCACGCTGATTGCATTTTAACCGCTAGACATATAGGCTTGTATTTAGCACACCATCAGGGCCGGATCCAGGATTTCTGTGTGTGTGTGTGTGTGTGTGTGTGTGTGTGTGTGTGTGTGTGTGTGTGTGTGTGTGTGTGTGTGTGTGTGTGTGTGTGTGTGTGTGTGTGTGTGTGTGTGTGTGTGTGTGTGTGGTGTGTGTGTGTGTGGTGTGTGTGTGTGTGTGTGTGTGTGTGTGTGTGTGTGTGTGTGTGTGTGTGTGTGTGTGTGTGTGTGTGTGTGTGTGTGTGTGTGTGTGTGTGTGTGTGTGTGTGTGTGTGTGTGTGTGTGTGTGTGTGTGTGTGTGTGTGTGTGTGTGTGTGTGTGTGTGTGTGTGTGTGTGTGTGTGTGTGTGTGTGTGTGTGTGTGTGTGTGTGTGTGTGTGTGTGTGTGTGTGTGTGTGTGTGTGTGTGTGTGTGTGTGTGTGTGTGTGTGTGTGTGCATGTATATAGATACGCATATATGAATGCATGCATTTACTTATTCATTTATTTCATAAATACGGAAACCCATCTAAGCCAGGCGTGCTACGCATGCATACACATAAAACTCGCTCACTTTCTACAGATCATGTTAAATGCTGTGATTTTGGGGCCAAGTGTTTCGAAACAACAGGCAAACTTGAGTTAGCTGCTAACAACCATCAAAACCAAGCATGGACTTGATTCCTAGCTTATGTTTTTACGGCTAGCCGGCTGGGCGATGTAATCAGTTGATGGCTGGTGACTAGTGCAGCATTTTTCCTCTGTTATAAATGAGTACAGCATATCCTAGCATTCGAAATATGTTAAGAACGTGATGCACGAGTATAATAAGTACCCCACACTCAACAGCTAATGAAAATGACACACGCCGTCGGCGGCATGCATCATCACGTTCGGCAATTGTGCGTAAAAATTCATCAGCGCATATTGGACCATTGCTGAGGCGAAGGCACCAAGGTCAATAGGGACGAAACCTCAGCGATTGTGGGTGCCGCAGGAAGTGGCTCAAAGTGACTCTCGTCAACAACTATAGGGTCCGCAGAGCAAGCAAAAAGAACCCGGGACCAGCGTACTGGGCTCATGAACGACCGGTAGTGCCTCAGCAGGTTGACAGCAGGCAAAATTCATGGTCTTGAATTATCCAAGACCATGAATACCCCTGTGAGATCAAGAGTGCGCGGGCGGGTTAACAACACGAGCCTCGATAGGAGTGAAGAGTCCCCTGCAAATGAAACCAGAGGGGAGCTCTCGATGAAAGTAGATGGCCCCTGAGTATCGAGTAGACAGCGTAGTGAGCTCTAAAGCTCATTTTTTACCCAAGCAGCGCTTTCTCAATCAGCAAAAAAAGAGCTGGTCTGCTTTTGAGGCCTTTGCTTTTGCTAACAATTGTTCTTGGTCGTCTCCAGGGCCAAAGACTTTCAATTTTGTTGTGTTTTTGGTGTAAGAAAACTGCGTCCGTCCGGCCGCTTACGAGCCCTTCAGAGCCCTTAGGTCACCTCGCCATGGTCCATTGGGCATGGTTCCGTGCATCCCCCCCCCCCCCCCCTCTGCATCCGCCACTGGCCCGAGCAGCATAATAGATGGGGCTCGCCAATAACATGGGGCCATCCATTCAAAAAAGAAGTACTCACGTCACCTTGCGTAGGGCTCTGAACGAGTGAGTGCGCCCAAGCAGGTTAACATATAGGGCCCCCCGTAAAGAGCGTAGGGCCCTCCATTCAAAAAGGAAGCACCCAAGACCCAATGTAGAGGGCCCCTGAATGATCGAGTGTGCCCGAGCAGGTTAACAGGTAAGATTCCCCAAAAGAGCATAGACCCTCCGTTCAAATAGGAATTATTCAAGACCCATTGTAGAGGGCCCCCGAATAATCCAGTGCGTCAGAGCAGGTTAACAAATAGAGCCCCGTCAAGAGCGTATTGCCCTCCATTCCAATAGGAAGGATCCAAAACCCGATGAAGAGTGCCCCCGAATGATCGAGTGTCCCGAGCAGGTTAACAAATAGAGCTCTCAACAAGACCGTAGGACCCTCCATTAGAATGGGAAGCACCGTAGACCTTATGTGAATGGCACCAGAGTGATAAAATGTGCCCAAACAGCTTATCAAAAGGGGCCCAGGAAGAACGTGGGGCCCTCCGTTCAAATAAGAAGTACCTGAAACCCAGTGCGGAGGGCCCCCGAAAGATGGAGTGTACCCGAGCAGCTTCTCAGGTGGCCCAGACAGGAGTGTAGGGTCTTAAGATCAAACACCACAACCCAATGTGCAGGGCCCTCGGACAATCCAGTGTGGCATAAGCGGCGAACAGATGGGGTTCCCGACAAGTACGTAGGGCCCTCCATTCAGATAGGAGGTACCCAAGACACTATGTGGAGGGCCCCCGGATATTCGAGCGTGCCCGAGCCGGTTAACAGATGGGGCCCCGGCAAGGGTGTAGGCCTTCCGTTCAAGTATGAAATACCCAAGACACAATGCAGACGATCCCGAATAATCGAATGCGCCAGGGCAGGTTAACAGATAGGACCCCCAAAAAGTGCGGAGGGCCCTCCATTAAAAAAGGAAGTATCCAAACCAGATGTAGAGGTCCCCCACGATCGAATGGGCCCGAACATCTTATCAGAAGGGGCTCCGACAGGAGCGTAAGGCCTTGCATTCGGATAAGAAGTACCCAAAACCCGGTGCAGAACAGAGAAAACCCGGTGCAGAATGTGCCCGAACAGATTATCAGATAGGCCCCACAAGAGCGTAGGGCCCCCTATTCAGAGAAGAAGCACCCAAGACCCAGTGTGGAGGGTCACGAACGACTGGGTGTGCCCAAGCAGCCCACCAGATGGGCCCCCGACGAGAGTGTAGGTCTCTAAGCAAGCGACAAAGAATTGGAAACGCTCTAAACCAACGTGGAGGGCTCATGAGGGTATTCCAAGTGTGTCGGTAGGTTAACCGAGGCCCACGTAACGGGCCCCTGAGCAGCCGAAAATGCCTCGGCTATAGCTGACAGAGCCTTTCTGGCGAATGAAAAGAATCCGTGGAAGGGCCCGTGAGTGACAAGAGTGCCCCGGTACGCTTACAGAAAGGGCCCCAACAACAGCGCGGGGCCCTCCGAGCAAGTGCAAATAAATGAAGGGCAACATGAAATGCTCCTTAGCGATCGAAATGATCCTGCAAGTGGGCATATAGGTCCTTCGGAAACAGCGTGCGGTTCCTAGACAGTGTAATGGGGCTTAAAGTTCCAGTTCACAACTTTTCCGATCATTGATTTCTTTTTTGATTTTTCGTAGGCCCTTCACTTTTGCTCACAACTGTTTTTGGCCGCCTAAAAGTCCAGAGATACTCAGTTTTGTTGCGTTTTGCTAAAAAAACTCCAACTCGTTTCCCGATTATGGAGCCTCACCGGAGCCAATGGAACCCTTCGGGCCCAAGGGGGGCCATGGCCCGTGCTCCCCCCCCCCCTCTGGATCCACCCCTGTGTGAAGCCCCGACTTATGGTAAAGATCATGCGCAGCAACCCCCTGGTTTTCTGTATAGCAAATAGCGCACAAGAATCTCGAAACTGAATGGCCGGAATGCGAGGATTTCTTTTTTAAAGCGGGCCCAAAACATCAAAAATGTAACTGTCCCGCCTCCGCAACAAAGTCCTGGATTTGCCACTGCCGTTGTGCTGTGTGACCTGGATGTGCGATTGTACCCAATTTCCGAGAGTCACCTACAGTCCGGTTGGAACCCACCATTCAACCTATTCGGAAACCCCACTGCTGCAAAGGATGACTAATGTAGCTGTGCAGTTGTGTCCAACCGCGCTACATTCGCCGCGCTTTTGTTTTGGTTGAGATTTTGACCTTGGCCCGTAAAGCAGTGTGACAAGCTGTGGCCAGGCCCTGGAACTGTCGCGATTATACAGGTGCCCCGACGGTGCTGTTCCGCTGTCGTTTTACGGGTGAGGTGTGTCGCGCCCGTTTATATTTGCTGATGTAAGGAACTTAGGACTACTTACTGCAAGGACCTTGGTGCTTCATGGGAGGTCCAGCTTAGACTTCAAGGCTTCTACGCTTCCTGGTTGCGGGCAGATTCCGGAAGAGTTCGCGAAGCTGTGTTAGAAAGTTATCAGCATTTACAGTGGTCTGACAATCCTGCCCCGTTTCTGCCCAAACACGGAGGCTAAGACAAACTGGGTAGTGTGTGTGCAATGTGCATTAAGGTGAATGCTTGCATTGAACTTTGAACTACAAACTATGCTTTGTGCCAGGAGCTAGACTTTTGATAAGACACTGTATAATTCTTTAAAGATGCTGTGGGATAAAAGATTCTAAGTCGCACACTTGTGCCAAAGCTGCTAAGTCATTGATGAAGTTGTGTCTGAACAATGTCTTCTCATATTTGGCCTACTCAGAAAGTTTGACTGTTTGGGTAAATGTTTCCAATGCCCCAAACACTGATTGAAGGCAATGTGATTATTATCATCACAGAAATGATACCAGACACAGAGGAAGGAAGCCTGTAATCCTTTGGAGCCCCTGCGATAAGCACTCGGGCATCAACACATCAGAGTATCCTGTTTGTATGAGTTTGGTAACAGGCTCAACTTTCCAGATCCATACATATGCTTGGAGTAATGGCTGCTGACCTTTAGCCTACTAAAACTGGGGAGTTTTAATTGACAATATGGATGGGTTCAGGTTTTGAGGTGGTTGTGGTACATCAGGAAAACATGATTTGTTGTGTGTGAGATGGCTAGTGTTAATGATATAGTGGGCTTTCAGCTATGTAGTTTTGTTGCCTTTATTTTGTTGAATTGGGCTCTAGCATGTTGTACTCTAGGCTGATTTCAGTAGGATGACATTGCCTTTTTCCTGATGTGATACTAGCATGCCTTCCAGGTAGATGTTGTTCAGATTGCCTTATATGTTGCTGACAACAAGCTTTTTCATGCCTTTCAGTTGGTTTCACTCCTCTGCAAGGCCCTGGTGGTATATATCTTATGACAATTTGTAAAAACAGGATGAGTTAGACAAATCCAAGTTTTTTGCTTGATTGAATTGCATAATTCACATATAATTACCAATATGCTTACATCGGTACCTTTGTATGTCGGCACCTTGATCTATTTTGTCAAAATTGTCTTGTCAAAAACACCAGGCTGATGGAGCTACATAACTTCCGGATAACTAATGTTCATATGGACTTAGTGTTATTCACTCAGTGTCATAATGAGATCCAGTTTGCTGATAGCCTCAATCATTCTCAGAATCAGGCATCAGAATCAGGGGGGCACTGTTTCAGGGACCATATGTATGGTCAGAATCAATGGGCCATTATTTCAGGGATCTTACTCATGGTCAGAATCAGGTGCTGTTGATGTACAAAAAACAATACTTGACGCATTGTGTATCCAAACAAAAATTTCGGCCCCAATGACTATTTGTGAAAGGCACAAAAATTGTTTTCCCTTGTAAAAAGATTGCTTTCCCTTATTTCCCTTTCTTGTAGAAGCTCATGCTGCATTTTGAACCTCTTCTTAGGCCAAGTCATTTTGGATCTGCTTACTTCATGGTGTGGCTTATCTCATAATGTGCATTGCCCTGTCCCAGTATGGCACATAATCCTGCTGTCAACCATGCACATAGTGGAGTTTGCGCTGATATGCTTCTCTGTCATTATCCATGGATGTAGGGAAGGTGGGACCAATAATGCCTTTTGCTGTCAGTCATGCACATGGTGAAGGTGGATGGGCACCATATGGCTGGGACAGCCAGTTCACGTAAGATCCTAAATCATTCAATGATGGAGGTGGGACTGAACTCCACCCTCTGTTATGGGCCATTAGTGTGAGTGTGGTTGAGGCGGGGGCTGCCCCTTCCCTCTGTAGGCAGCCATGAACATGGTGAAGGTGGTGAACTGACCCTGCCCTCGATTTCCAGCCATGAGCGTGGTGGAGGTAGGGCTGCGCGTGGTGCGCGGCCCCGACTGGAACTGGGGCGCTCAGGACGGCGGGCTCGGCCACACGGGTACTGTCGTCGAGGTGGGTGGCAGCAACAGCGTCACCACACCCGACAAGACGGTCGTCGTCATCTGGGACTCTGGCAACAAGACCAACTACCGCGTCGGTTACCAGAACGCACATGACCTCTGCGTGTTCGACTCGGCGGCGGCTGGTGGGTGGTTTGGTAGCTCCGCAGTGAGGCGATAGGCTGCGAATGGTGGCGATATCCTGTGGTGGTCATGCTTAGCGGCAGGGAAATAAGCTCTGTCTTTCCCATTTCTGCATGCATAGTCCCAGCTCGCTTTCAAGACGTGCGAATCTAGCTCCATGCCCATCTCGCTGATGGCCCTGGCGGTTTTGCATTCAGTCTGTCGGCGGCTCTAACACGAGCTCATCAGTCACCCGGTGTGGCCACGCGTCGTGCGCCGCCGGGGGCCAGCGCCGGCGCGGCCCGCCCTCTGACCCGTCCCGGTGCGCGTGCGCAGGCGTGCACCACCCGCAGACGGTGTGCGCCGGCTGCAAGGAGCGCAACATTCGCGGCATGCGCTGGCGCTGCGCCGTCTGCCCGGAGCTGGACCTCTGCACGCCCTGCTACATGCAGGACCGACACGACACCAGCCACCCCTGCGTGCGCTTCGAGCGGTCCACGCTGCCCGGGTGAGGATGGTCCCGCGCGGCGCGGAGGAGACCCCATGCCTCATGGGGCGCAGCATTTGCTCAGGGATAGCATGACAGATATCCACCAATACCCAACAGCAAAGGTACTGCATACATTTTTGTTTCAAGTTGTCGGGCAAGAGGCGCCGATGAAACCTGAGCAGCTGAAAAAGACGGTATCAGTATTTCCAAGTCCCACATTTACGAGGTTTGGTTGGTAACATTGTATAGCGTTTTGGAATGAGCATGGCTGTCGTACTGTCGTTCCGCGTTATTTTCTCAGCTTTTGGGTTTAACTTGACCAATTCAAACCTAATCATCACCAGGCTAGGCCCGTTACAGGCCATTATTGTCTTCTTACTCTGTTTTTCTTTAAACTCCCAATTGTGTGAGTAACGTAATCGTGATGAATCCACTTTCAGGAGTGCGCTGTCGATTGCAAAACATGAATGCCACTTGCGCAAGTCCAGGAGTGCTACACACTGTCGCTCTGCCTGCTGGCCTGTGCTGACCGAGGGGGCCTGTGTCGCCACAGTGTTGAGGTGCCGTGTCGCCGAGACAGCACCAAACATCAACTCAAGGGCATCTTCACCAACGCCAAGGTGGTGCGAGGCGTGGACTGGGAGTGGGGAGACCAGGACGGTACGTGCTGTGGGTTGGGGGACCAGCATTGCGCGTGCTGGGAGTCGGGAGACCAGGACGATACGTGCTGGGAGTGGGGAGGCCAGGGAGGTACGTGCTGTGAGTGGGGAGACCATGACTCTGCATGCTGGGAGTCGGAGATCTGGGTGGGGAGCACTAGGCAGGGTATGTAAACAGTACCAGGAAGGATGACTGGAATCTGCATGAGTTACAGGTCGTCCTGTGGCTCAGGCAGCAGCTGTGTGGGACATACAGAGTATATCTGTATGAGTCATGGATCGTCCTGTGGCTCAGGCTGCAGCTGTGTGGGGCATACAGTGTATCCATATGAGTCACAGGTCGTCCTGTGGCTTTGGCTGCAGCTGTGCAGGGCATACAGTGTATCCATATGAGTCACAGGTCGTCCTGTGGCTTTGGCTGCAGCTGTGCAGGGCATACAGTGTATCCATATGAGTCACAGGTCGTCCTGTGGCTTTGGCTGCAGCTGTGCAGGGTGTACAGAGTGTATCTGTATGAGTCACAGGTCGTCCTGTGGTTTAGGCTGCAGCTGTGTGGGGCATACAGAGTGTATCCATATGAGTCACAGGTCGTCCTGTGGCTCAGGCTGCAGCTGTGTGGGGCATACAGAGTGTATCTGTATGAGTTACAGGTCGTCCTGTGGTTTAGGCTGCAGCTGTGTGGGGCGTACAGAGTGTATCTGTATGAGTCACAGGTCGTCCTGCGGCTCAGGCTGCAGCTGTGCAGGGTGTACAGAGTGTATCTGTATGAGTCACAGGTCGTCCTGCGGCTCAGGCTGCAGCTACGTGGGGCATACAGAGTGTATCTGTATGAGTCACAGGTCGTCCTGCGGCTCAGGCTGCAGCTGTGTGGGGCATACAGAGTGTATCTGTATGAGTTACAGGTCGTCCTGCGGCTCAGGCTGCAGCTACGTGGGGCATACAGAGTGTATCTGTATGAGTCACAGGTCGTCCTGCGGCTCAGGCTGCAGCTGTGCAGGGTGTACAGAGTGTATCTGTATGAGTCACAGGTCGTCCTGTGGCTCAGGCTGCAGCTGTGTGGGGCATACAGAGTGTATCTGTATGAGTTACAGGTCGTCCTGTGGCTCAGGCTGCAGCTACGTGGGGCATACAGAGTGTATCTGTATGAGTCACAGGTCGTCCTGCGGCTCAGGCTGCAGCTGTGCAGGGTGTACAGAGTGTATCTGTATGAGTCACAGGTCGTCCTGTGGCTCAGGCTGCAGCTGTGTGGGCATACAGAGTGTATCTGTATGAGTTACAGGTCGTCCTGCGGCTCAGGCTGCAGCTGTATGGGGCATACAGAGTGTATCTGTATGAGTTACAGGTCGTCCTGCGGCTCAGGCTGCAGCTACGTGGGGCATACAGAGTGTATCTGTATGAGTCACAGGTCGTCCTGCGGCTCAGGCTGCAGCTGTGTGGGGCATACAGAGTGTATCTGTATGAGTTACAGGTCGTCCTGCGGCTCAGGCTGCAGCTGTATGGGGCATACAGAGTGTATCTGTATGAGTCACAGGTCGTCCTGTGGCTCAGGCTGCAGCTGTGTGGGACATACAGAGTGTATCTGTATGAGTCACAGGTCGTCCTGTGGTTTAGGCTGCAGCTGTGTGGGGCATACAGAGTGTATCTGTATGAGTCACAGGTCGTCCTGTGGCTCAGGCTGCAGCTGTGCAGGGTGTACAGAGTGTATCTGTATGAGTTACAGGTCGTCCTGTGGTTTAGGCTGCAGCTGTGTGGGGCATACAGAGTGTATCTGTATGAGTTACAGGTCGTCCTGTGGTTTAGGCTGCAGCTGTGTGGGGCATACAGAGTGTATCCATATGAGTCACAGGTCGTCCTGTGGCTCAGGCTGCAGCTGTGTGGGGCATACAGAGTGTATCCATATGAGTCACAGGTCGTCCTGCGGCTCAGGCTGCAGCTGTGCAGGGTGTACAGAGTGTATCTGTATGAGTTACAGGTCGTCCTGTGGCTCAGGCTGCAGCTGTGTGGGGCATACAGAGTGTATCCATATGAGTCACAGGTCGTCCTGCGGCTCAGGCTGCAGCTACGTGGGGCATACAGAGTGTATCTGTATGAGTTACAGGTCGTCCTGTGGCTCAGGCTGCAGCTGTGTGGGGCATACAGAGTGTATCTGTATGAGTTACAGGTCGTCCTGTGGTTTAGGCTGCAGCTGTGTGGGGCGTACAGAGTGTATCTGTATGAGTTACAGGTCGTCCTGTGGCTCAGGCTGCAGCTGTGTGGGGCGTACAGAGTGTATCTGTATGAGTTACAGGTCGTCCTGTGGTTTAGGCTGCAGCTGTGTGGGGCGTACAGAGTGTATCTGTATGAGTTACAGGTCGTCCTGTGGCTCAGGCTGCAGCTGTGTGGGGCGTACAGAGTGTATCTGTATGAGTTACAGGTCGTCCTGTGGTTTAGGCTGCAGGTGTGTGGGGCGTACAGAGTGTATCTGTATGAGTTACAGGTCGTCCTGTGGCTCAGGCTGCAGCTGTGTGGGGCGTACAGAGTGTATCTGTATGAGTCACAGGTCGTCCTGTGGTTTAGACCGCAACTGTGCTGGGGCTACAGAGTTAACTGATAGAAGCTTGAGTCAGACATTAAGCAGGCCTTTATCTCGGGGTTGAAGAGGGGGGGGGGGGGGGGGGGGAGGGAGGGGCGTCGCCTCTCTGTACATCAGGATTGGTTACGGGAATGGTTTTAGTCTTTACATCGTGAGACATTTTGCTCCCTGGATGGCCCTGTGCCACATGAGCTGGGGTCATATGCAAGCGTGGTTGACACGCATGAGGCTTTACTGCTCTCTTGATAAGACAAAGTCCCGTGGAAGTACTGGGTCGCATCATGTGAGGTTGTCTACTGATGTCGCCCATACCCGTCATATGTTACGTTCGTAGCGATTATGCCCTTCTATGGTTGGTTCGTGGTGGAATATTACTAGTGTCGTCATCTCGAGGTAGTTGCACTTGCACATTCTTATTTTTGGCAGCACATCGTGTTCGTGCACCACATGCCCGGGATGTGATAGACGTGATGTCGTACATATTAGTCCACAGAATGCTGTATAAGCATATGGCACTGACAGCGAGCAAATACCGGGTGACATCTCATCGTCGTTCCTCTGGCCGTGCCGGCCGTTTTAATCTTCAATTGTAGTCCACTTGCTTGACCAATACCATTGCACATTCCAACGGTGACCTTTCACTATGTCACGGGGTCCGGTACGCTTACCTGACCTGACCTGACCTGACCCGACCTGACCCGACTGCCACGTGCCCTCCAGGCAATAAGGTGGGCCGCGTGACGGACATCCACGGCTGGGACAACGAGTCGGGCCGCTCGGTGGCCAACGTCTCGTGGGTGACGGGCGTGCCCAACGTGTACCGGCTCGGCCACCAGGGCAAGGTCGACCTCATGCACGTGACCAACGGCGAGGCGGGCGGCGGCCCCTGCTACCTGGATCACCTGCCGGCGCTGGGTGAGAGGCCGCGCCGCGTGCGGGCAGCAGCCTCCGGCCGCCGCGTGTTCACGCCCGCCAGGGGTCTGTGTCCCAGCTCCGTTGAGACGTGCCCGTCGTGCTCCGTTGGGCGAGCTTGCCGGCTTCGCCTGCTGCGTTTGTGCCGGCTGCTGCTGAGATGACATGCTCGTTACTTGCGTCGTTCCGGATGGGGCTCGCGCTTTAAGACACTGCGGCGTTCTTCTTGCCCGTTGCCTTAGTTTAGTCTCCTTTGTGATGATGGCGAATACTTTGTGTCATACACAGCAGGATGTGAGAAAACGCGTACATTGCGGCATGTTTTGGACTCTGTATGAGTTACTGCGCGCGTTTTGTGCTGGCCCACCCCGTGGACGCGGTGAGCGTGGCCGTGGCGGCCGTGCTGGGCGGCTGGGCGGCGAGCCGAGGCGGAGCGCTGGGCCCGTGACCGCGCCCGCTCGGCTGTCGGCAGGCCGCGTGCCGCCAGCGCCGGCCCGCCGCCGAGGGCGCCGCGGGCGCGCTGCGACCGGCGCCGACGCCGGCGCCGCCGACCCGGCCAGCGCGAGTCTTCTCAATGGGAGACCGGGTCCAGGTGGCCGGCGACGCCGCCGCCCTGCAAGCGGCACAGGAGGGCCACGGCGGCTGGAACCCGCGCATGATGGACGTGAGTGGACCTCCGGCTGGCAGAAGGAGCGGCTGCTGCGCTCGTTAACGTGGCGTGGGCATCTGTGCTTTCGGTCGGGTACGTCTCGTTTGGAGCTGTGCTCTCTTCTCGACTGGCAGGCCCAAGTCGCGAATCATATCTGCTGCGGTGCTGCACATGCGCCACGTATCCGGATCGGATCACTGTGCTGGCTGTCGGGTCTGTACAAGTCGTCGGAGACCCACAAAGCCGCATGTCTGGACGCTGTGCTGGCGGCGCCGTACCAACCGATCGCCCAGCTACAGCGCAACCCGCCGGGCCCAATTCCCTGTGTGGACACGGCGCGCGCGCCGCCTGAGCCTGACCCGCTGGCGTCTCCCTCCTCTCGCAGTTCATCGGCCAGGCGGGAGTGGTGCACCGCATCACGGACCGCGGCGACATTCGCGTGCAGTACAGCAACGGCACGCGCTGGACTATCAACCCGGCGGCGCTGGTGCGCGTCAGCCCGCTGGCCGTGGGCGACACGGTGCGCGTGCTGGAGGACGCGGCGCGCGTCCGACTCTTGCAGAAGGGCCACGGCGAGTGGAGTGACATGATGAAGGCCGTGAGTGTCACGACGCGGACGGCGGGCGCCAGCGTGCAGGCTTGGCGGCTATGCAGCGCGCTGGGCATGGACGCCAACGTACTGTGCATGGGCGCCAGCGTGCCGTGTATGGGCACCAGCGTGCTGTGTATTGCGCCAACGTTCTGTGCGTTGGCACCAGGCGTGCTGTGCGTTGGCGCCAGCGTGATGTGCATTGGCACCATCGTGCTGTGTATTGGCGCCAGCGTGCTGTGCATTGCTTTTTGGAGCAGAAGGGCTGGCCGCAGCGCTTCCATAAGTCATCTAGCATGTACGTAGAATTTCGTGCTACCATTGCCCTGGCTCTGTGGCGGTCTCTGCACGCCGTTCGTAGGCGCTAATCCGTTGCCCTTTAACCCCGAGCCCAGAACATCTGACCTGTCCGGCCCATTTATTATGCCTGAGGCGCTTAGATTCTGGGTTGACCTCCCGGCGCGTTGCAGGAGTGGCCAGATTTTGAGCAAGGGAGGGCAACGGGCGGTGAACCCCAAAGTGTTATAGCAGGAAAAAATATCGGCATCCCCGGCTCCCAAGTGGCCAAATACTGAAACGCCCGCGAGCTGCGACCAGTGGGAGTCATTGCTAGTGCATGTCAGATTTGACGAGTCGTTCGTCCGTTCAAGTGTTTAATGTCTGCGTGTAGGGGGGTGCATATTATATACCCGACCTTTCGCACGTGAGCAGTGACGTAATGCAGCGCCGTGTCGTCGAGCGTCGCCGCGCGGTCTGCCGAGCCGCAGACCAGAGCGGCCCCTAACCGTGGCGCCACCGCCGCCGCCGCCCGCCGCCGCCAGTGTCTCGGCAAGACGGGCCAGATCACCAAGATCTACGCGGACGGCGACCTGCGCGTCAGCGTGGACGGCCAGACGTGGACCATCAACCCGATGTGCGTGAGCCCGCTGTGTCCGGGCCCGCCGACCGCCGACCCCAACTCGATGCGCAGCCGCGACAGGGACGACCAGCCCGGTGAGCGAGACGCCGGCGGCGGCCTGTCGCACGAGGCGGCCTGCAGCGGCACGCGCCGGCTCGCTTTGTTAGCTGATTGTCTGCTGTGTGGGTGGCGTGCAGTAAGCACTGCAAGGCGTCCACGTAAGCCGTCGTGAAGAGGCGACTTTTTCTGTCCCAGAGATTTGTACCAGCAGTGGCTTCGATGCCAGCACGCGTTAGCAGCATACCATGTCCAAGGTTCCGCTAGTGCCAGGACGCGTTAGCAGCACACGATGCCCAAGGTTCCACTAGTGCCAGCACGGGTGCCAGTCTTCAGTGTTTTAAAAGTGATTGCCGCGTTTTAATCGAACTTCGCTTCACACGTAAGTGACCGAACTCAGACATGCCGGAAACGCGTTGTAAAACCGTTCTTCCCAAAGTGTTGCTTTGAACCCTTCACATTTTCCCCTGAAATATATATTTTGCTGTTTTTTTCATCCGTTTCGTTCATTGCAATCATCAAACAGCTTTCCCCCAACAAATATACCTTTACTTTTTTCATGTGCGGCCGAAATGCACTGATATGCTGTGGCCAAATTGCTGCCTTCCTAAACCATATAAGAGCTCGTTTGTACCTTATTTTGTATAAAAATGTGAGATTCAAAACGGTATCCCTGAGCAAAGGTTCTGCCGTGACTCTTGCAACGAGATAGTCCAATTGGCCTTTTCAAACTGATTTGTTAACCGTGCTCGGGGTTATGTTTGCTGCCATATCCGAATCTGGTTTAGCTTTAACTAACCATGTGGAACTTAGTCGAAGTGGACTGCCAATTGTATGCTTGAGGTGCCCAGGTGCACCCTCTGGCGCCTTGTTCAGCGATCGCATCGCCGTGTGTTTAGTGCGGTGTTTTTATGTGGTCGCACCCAGACGTGACGACCGGACTTTAACACAGCCCAGCGGCTCTGTCACCGGCAGTACCCCTGTACCGCCAGGGACCCATGCGGTTACCCTGCTGCCGACTCGACGTGCTGACTTTCGCATACGTGCGCCTCGCGTCTCGTGCCGACGTCCCATGACCGCTGGGCCCCGATGCCGCAGGCGCCCTGGTATCGTTCATCAGCAGCTTCCTGGAGCAGCACAAGGAGACGTCGCTGGCCGACCGGCTGGTGCGGGACGCCGCCCAGGGCCGCACCGAGGCCGTGCGGCAGTGGCTGGAGAAGCAGCGCGACAAGGTGCGCGCCGCCGCCCGTCAGGCCCGGCGGACGCTGGGCGGGCCGGTTTGGGGGACTGTGCCATCCGGTCTGGATGTGCTGTTTGGCACTGCTGGGGGCATGGTGTGTTATATACCGATGCCGATTTAGTCCGAAGGCTTTGTTCCTCTCCGTGTGCGTTCTCGCGGAGCAGTGGCTGTTCTAGGGCTTGCGGTCTGCCGATCGGGCTGTCGTGGGCCGTGCCGCGCCGGCCCGAGCGCCGTCTACAGCGTGTGTCTCGGTGCGCGGCTCAGGTGGACTGCAAGAGCAGCGGCCGCACTGCGCTGCAGCTGGCCTGCCACCAGGGCCACATGGAGACGGTGCGGCTGCTGCTACACCGCCAGGCCAGCGTGGCCGCCACCGACGACGACGGCGACACACCGCTGCACTACTCCGCCTTCGGGTACTGGCCGGCCCGGGCGCCGACGCGCGCGCACGCGCGGCCCCGCAGTTTCGGGGTTGAGGCCCTGGCGTGCCGAATATTGCGCCCCCCCCCCCCCCCCCATGGACATGCCTCGGAGTAGTGGATTTGGCTGTCGATATTTGGGTTTCATTCGTAGCGTCACACAGACGCTCGCCGAACACCTCACCCCGCTGTCATGCTTTCGACCGTCGGTTGCCAGACGGCTGCCGTAGATGAGAGCCATCTATAGAATGAAAACATTTTTGCTGAGGCGCTGTTCAGTGCTCTTCTGTCGGAGTATGTCTGAGCCGGCTGTCGGTCCCCGGAGTGTGTGTGAGCAGTCTGTACCCCGGTGTGTCTGAGCCGGCATCGGTGCCGCGCCGGAGTGTGTCTGAGCCGGCAGTCGGTGCCGCCGGAGTGTGTCTGAGCCGGCAGTCGGTGCCGCCGGAGTGTGTCTGAGCCGGCAGTCGGTGCCGCCGGAGTGTGTCTGAGCCGGCAGTCGGTGCCGCTGAAGTGTCTGTGTCTGAGCCAGCAGTCAGCTGCAGCTGAAGTGACCAGTCCGGAGCGTGGTCTGTACCGACTGTCGGTGTCGCCGGGGTGTGTCTGAGCCGACCGTCGGTTGCCGCCATAGTGTCTGAGCTGACTGTCGGTGCCGGCGGGGTGTGTCTGAGCTGACTGTCGGTGCCGGCGGGGTGTGTCTGAGCTGACTGTCGGTGCCGCCGGGGGTGTTGTCTGAGCCTGACTGTCGGTTGTCGCCGGGGTGTGTCTGAGCCGACGTCGGTGCCGCCGTAGTGTTGAGCTGACTGTCGGTGCCGGCGGTGTGTCTGGAGCTGACTGTCGGTGCCGCCGGGATGTGTCTGAGAGCTGATCTGTCTGTGCCCGGCCGCCAGGAACCAGCCGAGATCATGGAGCTGCTCATCCGAAAGAGCTGCGATGTCAACGCCACCAACCGGGGCCAGTGTTCGGCTCTGCACGTGTCGGTCAACAAACAGCATGTGGGCTGCGTGCGCGTGCTGGTTAAGGCAGGATGCGACCCCAACCTACAGGTGGGTTGAGCCAATTCCCATGCTTGGAAGGGGAAATCGTTGCAGGCAGGGGACAAACTGTTTCCCATGCAACGCAAGACAGGTCCAGCCTCCCCTCCCCCCCTCCCGCTCCCATGTAGCCAGGAGGGGACAAACTGTTTGCTCTAGCTGTTTGCCTACCTGGATCGATCCGGTCATCACTCGGCTGGTATAGCAGTTGTCCAGTTGGTGCGGTCTCCTGCCGGGCTTGGTATTGTTGCTGGATTCCCGGGCTGTGCCTGGAGGGGAAGGGGGCCAGGGTTAGCGTGTCTGCCTGTCAGCTGAAGGGAAGTTCAGTTTTCCCTTGTTGTTGGATTGGATTGGAGGGCGTTAGCCTCACATCCATGAGGTGTGCTATTTGAGCCTGGGTTTCTGGCCAAGAGTTGAATGCTCCCCCCCCCCCCGCGCAGAAATCGGCTAGAGAGTTTTGGCGCTAATGATTTGCCGTTAATGGCTTGACTTGTTAATGAATGCCGCCCTTCGTTCAATCAAATAACGGCAGCGACCACCTTTGGCGAGCCGTCTTTGTAAGCTGGACGGGTTATAGCAGTCTGCTGCTGACCGACCTTGAATAGCAATTGCCAGTGTGCGCTAGTGAAGCTTTGTAACATGTAAACAGCAGTGTTGGGTCTAGAGTAGCGTTGTTTGGTGGCTGTTGAAGACGGCCTTTAATTTACTTCCTGTCTGATCGCCTGATTCTTCGTAAACTGCTGTAGACACTGTTGACACACTTCCCCGCGAGTCTGTTCATTACGGTGTCGATCGTTACCACTCGTTTTGGGACTTCACCGTGTTACGGCACATAGCGGCTTGATTGCTGCGATGGGATGGGCTGTTCACGGCTCGACTACTGCCGTCCGGCGCGTTCACGTCAGATGGCCGGCCTTGCAGGACATGTACGGCGACACTGCCCTCCACGACGCCATCGGAAAAGACAACCTGGAGATCATCGAGCTGCTCGGTAACGTGCCGGCGCTGGACTTTCAAGATCAAGAACAAGCGAGGCTTCAATGTGCTGCATCACGACCCCGCCCTGAAGGCAATAACTTGTGAGTGCGGGGGACCTAGTGGGCGGACGCCGCTGACGTGCTCGTTGAAATGTGTGGCTGATGATCCAGACCCTGCTCACTGTGATGAACGTCCGTCGATAAGCACGCAAGCTCAGACGCCCTGCCCTGCCCCGGTATCTGAGCTGGCCCCCATTGGCCCATGGGCGCGGTGGAGGAGCCAATGTGCTGGCGCTCGTGGCATGCCGCGTCGTGTTCGAGGTGCCGCGGCCAGCTGACGCGCCCCCGTCGCGTGCGGCAGCGCCGTGGAGAAGCTGCTGGCGCGCTTCCCGCAACGCGGCCGACATGCGGAAGGAGGACGGCTTCACGGCCCTGCACTTGGCCTGCCTGAACGGCCACGCGGCCGTTGGTCGAGACGCTGGTCACGCAGAGCGGGTGCTGCCTGGACGCCGTCAACAACCGGCGCCAGACGCCGCTGCTGCTGGCCGTCTCCCAGGTCAGCCGCCGAGCCGTCCGCGAGGCGCCCAGCGGGTGTGACCAGCGCCGGCGGCGCAGCGGCATGAGTGTGGTGAAGCGAACAGGCGTGCGGATTTATAGCTAGTGGAATTGATCACTTCCGGAGAGGTCTGCCTGTCACATATGTACAGTTTGTCGCTAGCTTCTGACGTGAGTGTCATATCACGTCTGGCGTCGGCGTGCCCTAAAGCTCATTGTCCGGTCTTGCGTGCTCTGCTTTGCTGCCCTGTCCGCCACATTCACGTTGTCGCGCGCGCGCGCGCTCCGTCGCCAGCTACACCTGGGCATCGTGGAGTACCTGATAAGCCGTGGAGCGTCCGTGCTGCTGGCCGACGAGGACGGGGACACGCCGCTGCACCTGGCCGGCCTCAAGCTGGCCGCGGCCGTCGAGGTTCGGCCCGGCGAGGCGCCGCTCATTCACGGCATCAAGGCGCACCTCGCCACGCAGGGTCAGTCGGCCGGCCGGGGCGGGGCGAGGCTCGTCAGTCGGGCCGTCACTCGGGCTCGGCGGCGGTGGTCGGGGTGGTGGTGTCAGTCGCCGGAGACGAGGACCGAGTCAGCTCGGGTCCGTGTGTGGGGTCCTCGCCGAGGCGCTCGGTTGGTCCGTCGCGGCTGTTGGTGCCACGGTTATGACGAGCTGTGCTCTGTGCGCGCACGGGCTCGACGATGTCGAGTGAAGGGCAGGCCGTGACGTGCACGCGCCGCCCTGTTATGCGCATAGGAGTGAGGTTGCGCTGCCTTGTACGCGGGTTCTGGCCTTGATGCACATTTGGCCACTCTGACCTGTGTTGTGGCCGTGACTTTTGGCCGACACTGATGGTGTCAATCAATTGTGCGGGGTGGTGCCACTGGCATCTGGGTGACCATGCTTGCGTCTGTAGGCCTTCTCTGGTTTTTTGAATGAAAGAGTGTCTGACTTCGACCCGTTTCCTCTGGCCTTGGACTTCTTGCCCATAGCATGGATTTCTTTCCCCGGGAACTAAGTAATGTGTAGCTGTGCACGTGAGTGAGCGCGGCTGCATGCCTGTCTGTCCGGTGACACCGTGCTGGCGGTGGCCGCAGGTTCTGAGGTCAGCCTTGTCCAGGCGATGGCCTGCTACCTGGCGCTGGAAGGCGCGCCGCTCGAGGTGCACCAACAAGAAGGGTAGGGACGCCGCTGGAGACGATCCTCCGTGGCGGCGACAGGAAGTTCGCCGAAATCGTGCAATGGTACTCAGCGCAGCGCAGGTGAGAGCTGCCGTCCTGTCGCGCTGCTGATGGCAGCGGGGGTAGGTACGTCGCAGCATCCTGCAGTGACACATAGGGGAGGTGGGTATGCTGCTGCGCAATGGTGCTTGGAGCAGCGCATGTGCGTATGCTGGCACCGCCTTGCAGCGGCTCTCCAGCAGCGCAGGCCGGGCCCATGACGAGCTGCGGCCTACCCGAGCAGCGTGTGTGGGCAGGCAGTGCCCTGATCAAGCGCGACGAGCGCTTGAGGCGCGACAACGTCATCCACAACACTGCCGGGACGGACATGTTGACAGAAATAACAACACATGGTCAGTTTGAAGCAGCTGCGGAAAAGCCGACGGCGGCAGCAGCGCTTACGTCGAAACACGGTAAATTTTACGCCGCAGATAGCAATGGAATTTAGGACAACCAGCCGCGAATCCCCCGAAATGAATACCGTTTGTGAATGTGGCCAAAAGGCACAGGCGCGGGTGGTGAGAAGTGGTAGTGAAGGACAGCCCGAGTCATACATCAGCGCCGCTCCAGTGTAATCCCGATAAATGTCGTAGTGTGAGCACAAGTCGCCCTCCCCCCCCCCCCCCCCGCCTTCCCCCAGTATCCACAGCGTGGGCCAGAGTCCGCCAAACAGCCACAGTGCTGGCCATCCGTGCCGACCAGCACGGTCCGCAGTCTACCGTCTGCCCCATGTCTGCAGCGTGAGCCGGTTTCGTTGGCGTTTCACAGTGGGGGCCAGTGTGCGCCCGTGCCCGCAGAGGTTCAGCACGACCCGTGCCACAGTATGAGCCTCAGCCTGACCGTGCCCACAGTGTGAGCCTCAGTCTGACCCGTGCCCCGCAGGTTGAGCCTCAGCCTGACCCGTGCCCCGCAGTGTGAGCCTCAGCCTGACCCGTTGCCCACAGTGTGAGCCTCAGTCTGACCCGTGCCCACAGCGTGAGCCTCAGCCTGACCCGTGCCCCGCAGTGTGAGCCTCAGCCTGACCCGTGCCCCACAGCGTGAGCCTCAGCCTGACCCGTGCCCGCAGTGTGAGCCTCAGCATGGCCCGTGCCCACAGTGTGAGTCTCAGCCTGACCCGTGCCGCAGTGTGAGCCTCAGCCTGACCCGTGCCCACCAGTGTGAGCCTCAGCCTGACCCGTGCCAGCAGTGTGAGCCTCAGCCTTGACCCGTGCCCACAGTGTGAGCCTCAGCCTGACCCGTCCCCGCAGTGTAAGCCTCAGCCTGACCCGTGCCCACAGTGTGAGCCTCAGCCTGACCCGTGCCCGCAGTGTGAGCCTCAGCCTGACCCGTCCCAGTGTGAGCCTCAGCCTGACCCGTGCCCACAGTGTGAGCCTCAGCCTGACCCGTGCCCACAGTGTGAGCCTCAGCCTGACCCGTGCCCACAGCGTGAGCCTCAGCCTGACCCGCGCCCGCAGTGTGAGCCTCAGCCTGACCCGTGCCCACAGCGTGAGCCTCAGCCTGACCCGTGCCCCAGTGTGAGCCTCAGCCTGACCCGTGCCCACAGTGTGAGCCTCAGCCTGACCCGTCCCCGCAGTGTGAGCCTCAGCCTGACCCGTGCCCACAGTGTGAGCCTCAGCCTGACCCGCCCACAGTGTGAGCCTCAGCCTGACCCGTGCCCCCAGTGTGAGCCTCAGCCTGACCCGTGCCCACAGTGTGAGCCTCAGCCTGGCCCGTGCCCGCAGTGTGAGCCTCAAACTGGAGCTACCGTCGCTGTCTGACCTGACCCGGGAGCCGGCTGCTGCGGCAGCCACCGCCACCGCCACCAGCCCGTCGCAGTCGCCGGAAGAGCAGAGCGCCGCCGCGGTCGCCTCGCTCGCCGAAAAGACAGCCAAACTCAAGCTGGATAGTGATGAGGTGGGACCGATCGTGCCAGCTGGGCTTGCTTTTGTGGACCCGGCAGGCGACGGCGAGTATCGCTCTTGTAACTCAGGTGTGCTCCGGTTCCCAGTGCCCGTCGTTGAAAGGTCATACGGTGGGAAGTTATACTACTCATTTCTTAACTTGTAAGCTATTGAGCGTTACTACATCTTATCTGTGACCATGATATATATATATATATATATATATATATATATATATATATATATGACTTACGTGCGTCCGCTTTTCATCCCAGCCCGAGGGATGGAAGCATTTCAGAGGTCAAGCATGGTTGCATGCGCGGCGTACTTTCGGAAGCTATCCACTCTCGCGTTCGATTCACTGGCGTTCCAGAGGGCGCATCGTCGGCATTGTGTTGGACGGGTCCGGTGGCCGGCGCCGGTAACCGTGACGGTCGCCTCCGCCAGGAGTCGTGGCATGGGTGTGCTGCGAGCTGCCTGCCTGCGTCGAGTTCGAGCCGTGCGGACACCGCGTTACCTGCAACATCTGCTGCGCCCGCATGAAGAAGTGCGTCCGCTGCCAGACGGCCATCACCCCGCCAAAAAGACGGCAGGTGAGGGGGACGCGCCGGACCGCCGTCGGGGCGCTGGATGTCCGCGGTCACCGCTGTCCTGGCGATGATGCATCGCGGGGATCGTGGTTATCAGTTAAGTTGATCCCTACACCGGTGCGTGGAAGACTATTTTCGAACGTTTCGCGTCGGTCGAAGCGTTATGAGCCTGGGGTGCTGTTCTAAATGCTGGCTGTTTGTAGAAGGGAAGAAGACATGTTCTCGTTCCGAGAAGTCCGGATGTGGTTATCCGACCTTCTCGAGTGTGGTACAGATGCGCATATCTGCTTCGCGTGTTTCAGTGCTATCGCGGACCGTATGCGGATAGCTTACCTCTAACACGGTGCGCGAAGTTCTTGGCAGACACGTCATTCGAGTTACGTAGCACTTGTACTGCGGTGTTGGCCACCTTCGCTCTTTTCTTCTCCTGTTTACCGCATCGCTGCGTCTGAAACCGCCTAACAGGCGAGTATGACGTGCCCTTTCTTTTTGCGCTTTTGGAAAAATGCTGGTATCGCTGAAGCTGGTCCGGGAGAGAACGTGTTCATTCCAGCCAAACCTAATGGGAATGGGGCTGCGGCAGTCGCTGCGTCTGGTGTGTGTTGTGTGCTTATTTCGTGGTTCGCTGTGTATCTTGGGGTCCTGTTTTCGTTTTGCCAATTTCATCCATTCGGTGCGTTGAACACTCTTCTAGGTCTCGGTGATCGCGATATTGACGACAAAATCGGGGCGGCCGTTGTGGATGTGTGGCGGGGACTAGGTTCTGCATCCGGCGGGATAGGTGAGAGTCGCGCTGAGAGTTGCGCTGCAACCGCCCCGTCGCCAGGCTGTCACGCAGACGTTCCGTTTACAGACGGGAACGTGCTGGCATCGCGCGGTTCGGGCGCCGAGCTCCGAACGCCTGCGTTACCTGGAGACGAAGATCGCCGAAATTGAGGAGGTCCACGGCTGTTCGATCTGCATGGAGAGGCCGTCGCAACGTCGTGTTCCTGTGCGGTCACGGCGCGTGCGCGGTCTGTGCGCACGCGCTGCAGAATTGCCACATGTGCCGCAAAGCCATCACGCAGAAGATCAACATCTACTGAGCGGCCAGCGCCGCGCCACCGGGTGCTCCGGTCGTCGCGCTGGGGCTGGCCGCGCACGCGACTGCCGCATGCTCGCGCGGCGTTGAGTCACGGGGACTCTTGTGACTGATGGGAGGAGGGGAGGGCTGGGGGGGGAGGGGGGGGGAGGGGAGCTTTGGACGGCAGCAGTTTCCGCTCTGGCCGGACAGCTGTGACGCGGCCCCGTCCCAGCCGACGGCAAGGCGTGCTGCGCGTCACAGAGGCTGGCGGCCGTCGTCCGCGCCCAGCTGGCCGGCGCCTTGGTGGCAGTCTGGACGTGCTGGGGGACGTCCGCGCCTGTTGCTTCGTGTCGGATGCATGCGGGGCGCACGGCACACCGCCGTGCTGTCCGAACACGTCGCACTATCCTCGACGCGTGGTGCTCTGACTGTGCTGGTCGCGTTAAAGCCAGACATTAGGTGAGCGCGTACTCCGAAGTCGGAGGCCATTTTTTCCGCCGAGCGGCTCCTGTTTCATTGGCGGCGCCTGGCGCCGTGTCACCGACTCTCTTGATAGAAATAGTAACGCTTTGTAGTGTGGGATTGAATCCGTTCATGATGCACTTGGCACGTAGTGGGCGCTCTGCGGACTTGGCCGTGGGTTGATGCGTAGGAAGCTCGGATCTTGAAGCTTTCATCGTTGCAGACGTGACCAGGATTTGTTCACATAGACGGGCAAGACACCATATGTGACATTTATTTGCAAAGCTACTTTGTGGTGTGTGGAGTGTCCACCGTTTACAAGATGGATTGAGAAAGTACTTCGTCCGAATGCACTCTTTTGTACCATTTTGCGGGCATGATTGTCTTCATATCGATGGGATATATTTAATTACTCGGGCTATTGTGTGTGAACTGTGATCATGCACTTCAGCTTCACAAATACATGTACACATTTTCCTCTCTTTGTGCGCACCACTGAACTGAACAAGCGCATGTTTTCCCTATCTAAAATGGAATTTAACCAAAGATGCGTTTGCGCGCATGCATTGTAATGCTATTTCATAATTGGCAGGCGCCCGGCCAAGCAGACACCGCACAATACAGATAATTTGATTCTAGTTGGGCGATAGAGTTAAGGACGCAAACGTCTACCAAGGTTCCCAAAACCAACTGCATCCAAGCTATGAGCGATTTTGTGGCCTATCAGTAGCCTTCCATTTGACGTAATGTTGCTATTTGCAGGTATTGTGCTGGTATTTGCAGGTAATGCGGGTATTTGCAGACATAAGTACCTCCAGAACCTAGATACCTGTCCTAGCAAAAGGTCACTGATGCTCATTCTGATGTCAGTGACCTTGTTTGATCTTAAGGGGGGTAATGGCGACCAAAATCACGCAAGACTGCGTTGGTTTGCATTTAAATGAGCGCCAAATATTACGCTAGGCAATAAGTTACTAAGAGCAAATTGTTGACCAGGGTCAATTTCAGGTCAGTGACCTTTTCTGACCTTAACGAAGTTCGTAGGAAAACTGTCATGCGGTTCCTGTGGCCAATAAATTCAAAATGAGCACCAGAAACCAGAAAACGGCCATCAGAATAATAAAACAGGTTGGTTTTGACCTTGGTGTGACCTTCATATCTGACCCTAGGTCAACGAAATCCGTTCATTCAATTGTGTCGACTTAGGAACTATCTCAGGGGTTCTCGGCATCGTCCAGCACTCCGTTGTCGCATCAGATTGAATGATTCCCACGAAATTACCTTCGCTGAATCCATGGCCCGAATAAAGCAAATGCTCAACCGCAGGATGGGTTTCTCGCTAAAAACCAGGGCCTTCCATTTTATAACGGGGAATTTTTAGTTAACACTGTGGGGCGTCGTAGATCCCAACGGAGCTGTCTGGTTCATAACGGGGGCCTCGTAGATCCTAAACAGGGTTTTCTAGTCCATAACGGGGCCTCCTAGTTCATAACGGGGCCGTCCTAGTTCATGGTAGTGGCCACCCGAAGCAGCCAAGAGGCTCCTCAATACAAAATTGGGCCTACTGATCTAAGGGCATGAACAGCTTTATTCATAAAGGCACCCTCATGATTCGGAAAACGGGGATCTTGGATGCAGAGTTACGAAGGGGACTCCAAATCTAGCCAAGGGGCCTGGCTCTCCGAAAATAGCGCATCCTGATACGGAACTGCGGCCATCTGATGCTTGAAAGGGCTTGCTGTTCCAAAACCGGGATATATATATGTCTCTGGATGGTGTCTTCTAATCAAGAACAGGAGCCCCTAGTTCGTAACAGGGTCTCACGAGCCAAAAAAAAAACGCCTCCTTAACATAACGTTGGGTTTATTGATCTAGACGATGGACTACCTTATTCATAAAGATATGTCCTCATGATCCAGAAAACGGGCTTCTGGATGTAGAAAACGGTGTTTTGAGCCCGAACGATTGCTCTCTCGCTTAGCTTGGGGACCTCCTTGATTTGAATTTTGGTAACCTACGGATGGGTAGAATTCCTTTGACTAGGCGAAAGGGGCTTCCGAAAACTTTTGAGAGAGCAAGAACCTACTATTCCCCTGCCTGCCGGCGGGGGCTGCCCTCTCTGGACCGCCCAGAACCTGGCCGAACCGCTGCCAGGCCGTGACGTCATGGCAAGGCCTCGAACATTGACCAACGTGTGGTAAACACGTGGACTCGTCTGCTAGAAGCAGCGCTTAACACCCCTCCACACTCCGTTCGTGACGAAGACGTGAACGACCCCTTATCGAACGTCCTCCGATTGGAATCCATTTGCGCGTTCTCCGCTTTTCCGTGACCTTCCCGTGACTTTTGCGGCGGGCATACTAGGCACATATATGTACATTATAAGAGTGTCCAAAGCCTGTGTATTGCGTGCAATGCGCACGGGTAGAAATATAGGTAACCGTTTCGGACCCGTTAGCGCGCCGGCCCTTTCAAGCGCGCGACCACGTGATTGTGCCCTGGGACGGCGGCTGTACCATAATGTTGTCCACCCCTAGGGCGGCGCCCCGCACGAGTTGTACGGCTGCCGTTGTCAGCAGTTACCAGCGTGCGTCCAAAGTGTGGGGTGCGACCAGTCAGCAGCAGACTCACACTCGTCCAGCGTGTGGGGTGGCGACCAGTCAGCAGCAGACTCAACACTCGTCCAGCGTGTGGGTGCGACCAGTCAGCAGCAGACTCAAACACTCGTCCAGCGTGTGGGGTGCGACCAGTCAGCAGCAGACTCAACACTCGTCCCAGCGTGTGGGGTGCGACCAGTCAGCAGCAGACTCAACACTCGTCCAGCGTGTGGGGTGCGACCAGTCAGCAGCAGCAGACACAACAACTCGCTGTACATTCTAGTAACTGTGCCGCAATGATTTTTTTCCATGAGAACACTGTGGGATTGAATCGCCCGCCCGGTACCCCGTTCAGCAAAAAGGGAGGCTCATAAAGAGCAGAGGTTGCCTTCATCCGCGGGCTCACAAAAAGAAAGTGATAGTGGTGCATTGCACGGGCTTAAAGCAAGCATAAAAATCATCAAAAACAGCGACATCCTATTTTCCACACGAAATCTTGGTAACTGTTGCCAATCACCCTTAAATTGTGCAGTGAGATACCATTAGAAATCGTAAATTGCAACTGAGTTGCTCCGAGACATTCTAAAACATCCAGCATAGACTGAAGCGCCATGGGAACCAATCAAGACCGTAAGAAGTCTAAGGATGGCCAGAATGCGGTAAAACATATATTTACAGTATAGGACGCAAGAGAAGGTGGATTTCGTCAAGATTTTGGGAACTCGTTATTTTCGAAGTTTGGCGCAGCAAACACAAGCGTTTACTTAGACCATCGCTACACACGGCAATGGGAGCACTTCATGGGTCGACAGAAGTTCACAGAGTAAGTTTTAAACAGCTTGGTATTCTTGCTTTTCAACCACCGTTATACGGCAAGAATCTCGCAACATTTACAAGCCTAAATAATGGCTAACCCGGGTCTGTCTGGGTTTTGTTCACTGCTGTGCCACAAATATGAATGATACTCGGGTGCTCAACCGGGATCTTTTATGAGGTGCCCTGCTGATGTGTTTTTATTATTCCGACCGAGAACTGTAAAAGCCTATGTAAGGCCCCAGATAAAAGGGGGCAAGGGGGTTCCCGGGACCCTGGCACCCCTGCCCTCGGCTGCGCCTCCGGTGATGTTTGTTCTTAACTTGAGGTTTACCAAATTCGTCATGCATTCACAAACTCACCCACACCAAGGAACTCCGGCTTGCTTTGATTTAGTTTAGATTAGAGTTCTTCTGGCCATTAAGGATCACTTCAGGGCTATGGGATAGAGAAGAGTGGACAATGGAGGAGGGGGGGGGGGGGGGGGGGTTACTTCACGCACCTGGGGTCCTCCGCCCAGAATTAACCCGCGAGGGGACCCCTATACGGGGGAAACCCCTATACGCGGGGACCCCTATACGGGTATGTGCTTAGTATTCAGACGGCACACCTCACCAGCGACACTCAAGCTCTCTCATGACTGGCGCGTGAAGCCTGTCTTAGATAAACAGGGCGTCGCCAAAATGCATCATGGAGCGAGAATGAGGATAAAGAAGGCAGATGCATATTGATGTTTGACTGTTGGCGTGGGTTCCTAGGCCAGTTATTTATCAGGCCGTCATTATCAGTCGCCGAAGTTCTGGTCCGATTGTAATGGATTCAAAGTTCAAAAGTTGCCAGTCGCTTCAAAATTTGTTTTAAAAAATCAAACGAAACCGGAGAGCACATCAATGATTTTACCCAAAATTATGAAGCAGTCTCCCGGGTTCGCCCGCATGAAGGATCTCCCGCGGCACAGTTTGGCGTTGCGATAAGGCTCCACTTTGGCCGTACGTCCACGGAGCGAGCCGTCCAACCCGCCTCAAATGATGTGAGCACTCCCTCACATGAGCGGCATCAGAACGTGTCGTTCAGGTAGGAGAGTGCTCACATCACGTCCGTTAATTGGGGGTGTGGAGCCTGGCTCTCGTCAATAAGCCGCGCTGGGGTGTGAGCCTGCTCTCGTCAATAGAGCCACGTTTGGAGGTGTGGGAGCCTGGCTCTCGTCAATAGCCACGCTGGAGGTGTGGATCCTGGCCTCTCGTCAATAG